GCGGGCCTGGGTTCAAAGAACCACCCCAAAGAAACCACCCCTTCAGCCACGGCGCTCAAGTGGTTGAATAGAGGAGATGGCCTGTTCGCTTCCCGGATGTTATTAATTTCATCTGAGGCTTTGCGCAGGTCGCCCAAAAGGTCTGGTGATTGCTGGTCCGGTTTCTTGGCCTTCAAAGCGATGTAGAGGTAGGTTCTTTCCGCCTCGAAAGCCCGAAGAATCGCTTTAGACTGCATTTCCAGGTTAGAGCCATGGTTCACGCAAACACGCACATTGCACCAAATTATACCTGTTCCACAGCTGGTTCCCCAAGCCTTTTACTAAGTTCGACGAAGTTCGTCACCTCCTTGTTGATCAGGGCGTCGAAATCCTCGATCTGACGAGGTGGCGGTTCCACGACAGAAGGGGCCGGAGGTACTGGACTTGATGTGGCTTTTGGGGACGCCGAAACAGCACTTGCTGCAATCCCATCAGCGGCAGGGCTATCCGGATTCGAGGCCTCAAGAGAAGCTGCCATGTCCTCGAGACGCGAGGTGGCAGCCTCGAGCCTACGATCGCAAACTGTCAGTTGTTCCGACCATTGACAAAGAGAGGAACCCATGACCCCTAGCTAAACAATGATTTACAAACCTACCGCTTGATAAGGGTTGTAAAACTATTCATGTGGTGGGAAGTCATGGTTTGCGTTTTTTGAGAGTTACCTGACGGTCAAGCTGGAAGCTTGGGATGAGGTGTCAAATAAGGAGGGGGGCTATCCAAAGAAACAATTGGGAGTAAGGACGATGGCGAAGCCTCCGGATGATAATATATAGAAAATGAGAAATAAAGTTGCCTAGCGATGGGGGTGTTGAGTTACTGCCTGCACGGCGAGGTTGTCGATGAAGTTGAGATGATGGCCAGGAGAAGTCGATGATGGATGTTCCTGCGTCAACGCTGGAGCTTTGCGTCTACGATGCGTAAATAAATAACCGTATTAAATACCGCCCAAGAACAACGACAATGTCTGCTTAGAACCCTCCCCTCACACAAGGACCACATCACTGACATCTCCTTTCCAATGAGATCGTATCGGTAGTGTGCAATTGACTAGATAGAGTAGTACCTCGTCTATGACTAATTTACTTATGTCTGATGTGATGTCTTCAAAAAGTGCTAGCAACCTACCACTTGGCAGCAATATTAGCTTTTGCACACTGGGAATGTTCATTATCGGTCAGTCATTTTTCCTCGCAAATTAGAGTGGTTATGCATGTATATAACAATTCCTTACGCACCGTAAATACAGATGAGATTGAGTTTCCAGCCCCTCGGCCACTACTAAAAAACATCATCGGAGGTGCTGGTGCCTATGCCGCTGTTGGTGCGCGAATGCTAGCGGGAAAGGGAACATTCCCGGTCAGTTAGCTGGATAGTCGATGCTGGCTCTGATTTCCCTCCTGAAATACGACACATAATTTCATCATGGGATACCTACTGTGTACTGAGGGAGTCTTCAGAAAGACTAACTACACGGGCTTGGAATGGATATGGCCCGAATGAGAAAAGGAGTGAGTAAACAGATACTTTTCCTGCGGACTTCACTTGGCAATTGCCGCTTACTGATTCCTCTATGTGGGACATGTAAACAGACTTCCGGTATCTTACACCAAAACTTCGCTTGGATCATAACTCTCTTTCACAATCTCAGGTATTCTCCAGGTCATTCCACATGGTCTGCTCCTCTGAGCGCTGCTGTCAGATTGTCGAGGGGATACTTCAGAGACGGGAAGAGATTTTGCAAAGCAAGCAGGTTGAACCATCTATTGCCGAGCAGCGTCCAATTTTTGTGTGGGAGCCGGTGCCGGATTCCTGCCACCCAAAGGAGCTTCCAATGTTCTATAAGGCTCTGAAATATGTAGACGTAGTCAGCCCGAATGACCTTGAATTCGCTGCCATGTTTGGGAATGAATCATGGAATTACGGAAATAGCAGTGACCGAGCCATAGCGGACGCCATTGTGAAATCCGGAATTGGACAAGACGGAAGTGGAATACTTGTGGTCAGAGCAGGGAAGGATGGCTGCTATGCGTTCTGCGGAGATCTTTCTTTGCATATTCCATCGTATCGTGGTCTGAAAGTGGTGGATCCAACAGGCGCCGGAAATGCTTTTCTTGGAGCCCTATCTCAGGCGCTCGTTAGCATTGACCGAAATGCTCCTGAAGCTGTTGTGGCTACACTTATGGAATCCGAAGAATGGGCATCCGTTATCAACGCATGGGGAGAGCACGGGCGGATTCCGGCAGCGTTGGTTTGTGCAACTGTGGCGGCTAGTTTTGTAATCGAACAAGTAGGGATGCCAAATATATCCTATTCCGACGGAGAAGAGGAGTCATGGAATGGCGAAAGTTTTAGAGCACGGCTCCGGCTGTATACGAAGCAACTTCATCACACCAAGGCCTTGGAAAAATAAAAAATAAAAGATCGATTGCTTGATCGATTGATAATAGTATGTGTATCTAATCCCATTGAATCAACGCCAAGAGGAAGATTGTACATATAATCCACAGATCTCCAACCCACATGAACCTCCTCGCCATTGTAAAACTCATGATTTGCTTGCCTCTGCCAACTTCTTTTCATGTTCACAGATTTGTTTGCTCCACCTGTAAATTTCATGATAAGTAATTGCACATGTAGTAGCTTATTATAAATCTGCCGGCTGTGTGCGGGGAAACCCACCATCGACTTGGGAAGAATCTGCCCTGTTCAGGAAATTTCGTACGGAATTCTCTGTCTGCGGAGACGCTAAAGGCCATGGCAGCAGTACCGAATATAACAGCAGCGACTATCGCGGTATTGGTTTTCCAGTTTGCGGGTTGAGAGTACCAGCCACCAGCTGGTGACCAGACGTGCTTCGGATAGCTAAGGTTCGAAGAGTTAGCAACGCTGTTCAATTGGGGTGAAAAGCAAAGAATATTCAACAAAACCATAGCCAATTACTTACCGAACTCTGGGGCCACCTCCCATTTTGAGCAAGAAGTTCGGATATGACTTTGACCGACGTGTGAGCACGCAACTGACAACTGAAGAATCGAAATTCGGCGAAATCTTGAAGTTCCCAGAGATAACCCGCAAGGATAAATACACTAGCGACAAAGAAATCTAGCGTGAATAGGAAT